AGGTGTTGTGCGTGATTGAGACCAAAAAAATTGACAAGCCTTAAAAAGAGTATAAATTAAATTAACAGTGCTGAGGTATTTTTTTGGAAACTTAAGCTTTCTTATCAGTGTTGTGGGGTTTGTCCTTATTTAAGATGTGCAACCATCAGCACCCTTTGAGAACGGCAATAGTGTAAGTGGCTGAAAATTAGGTGGTCTTTATAGCCCATGGTGAACATCGATCGTTTGCGAAGTTTTTACCATGTTGTGAAAGAGGGCTCTTACATAAGAGCAGCCCTTGTTTTGGGTAAAAGTCGTTCTGCTATTAGCCTTCATCTTTCAAACCTACAAAAAGATTGTGGGGAGAGGTTGATCTCTATCGTAAAGAAGAAGGTTATCTTGTCGGAAAAAGGGGAAGAGCTATTTCGTTTGGCGCAGGAGATTATTCCCCAAATAGACGGCCCTTTAGAAGCATTTTTTTCTGGGGAAGAAAAGAGGAAACGACGTTCTTTAAAGGTCGTTACAACGACGGGAGCGATAGGGGTGTGGCTTGTTGGAAAACTGCAAAAATTTCAAGAGCAATTTCCTGAAATTGAAGTGTCAGTGATCACAATTAATGACTCTATTTCTTTTCTTGATTCTATAGGTGATGTTGGACTTTTACAGAAAGTTTCGGAATCAGGTGTTTTTCAGAGAAAAGTTTTTACCGTTAAAACCCGTCTTTATGCAAGTAAGGGTTACATCGCGAAATACGGATCTCCGAAAACCCTGAAGGACCTAGAAAAGCATAAATTAATTTCTTTTTATTCAGGGTGTGGCGCAAATTTTGGGAATATTGATTGGCATACGAACCGTGGTATGCCGCCTGGCCAAGTGCGTCCAAGTTTGTTGCGTTTAAACTCCGTGATGTTGTTGTTTGATGCTCTGAGAAGGGGACTCGGTATTGTTTCCTTAAATGATCAATTTGAGTTTTTAAAAAGGGATGATATCGTTTAAATTTTGCCGGAAGAAGAGCCGCAAAATTTTGGTATTTATTACATGACGCGAAAAGACAGGCCGCAATCTGAAGAAGAAGAGGCCTTATATAGAATTTTAGCTGAGGAAGAATAAAAAAAATGTCGGGAGATTCTTGATCGAAAGACATTTGTTTGTTTTTTATATGGCGCAATTAAAATAAAACGCAAAATAATTTAATTATTTGGTACGTGCTCATTTTAAGAATACCTTAAAAAGATATTGTTTTGATATTATTTAATGTACGGCCTAAGGGCTTTAAAAATTTTCAGTTTCCTTAAAAAATGCAATGATTTCAACTATCTTTAAGTGGTGAAGCCCATTCCAATAGGTAAAGTCCGAAATGGCATGGTTGGAAGGTAAAGTGAGAACATCATAAGATGTGGAGTTTCGGGTTTTGTAAATTTTACAAATAGTTTAAATTCTTAAACAAAAAAAATATTTTAAAAAATCAAAAAAATGTTGACGTGTTATTTCAACACGCTTATAGTTCTTATCAACATATACAAAGGGTTTTAAGTCTATGAAACCTTTTGCAAAGAGGAATTATCTTCCCCCATATGAGGGGTATGGTCGTTAAAGGAGGAGCAGAAGTTTGAAAGCGTCGTATTGCGTTTGACAACTTATAGAGTTTTTTAGAGATACTTTTCAATCGTTGAACCATTGAAAAGGTGAAGTTTCGTTAAAGTACCTACTTTGAGGAAATGTCCGTCAGAGAACTTCAATCATTCTTTCCCAAGTCTTGAAAACTTCCCTGACGGTGCCCACAAAGGATTTTTATCCTTTGTACTTCCCATGTACCTGAGCCGTACCATTTTATGGTACGGCTCTTTTTTTAAAAAACTTTCCGGAAAATTATCTGTTTGGATTGATATGGCTAATAATTTGTCAAGAATAAAGGCGCAAGATCCAAGCCATTAAAAGAAGAAAAGAATTAAGAGAGAGGGGATTATGTGTCGATTTGTCATGTGGACTTTTGTGTTTGGGATATCGGTTTTGAGTTTTGTTCATGCCTCTTCCTCTTTTGAAGAGATTGAAAACGATGATGGGGCACCATCTCTTGTTTTTTTTGAAAGGGACACAGAGTTCTCTGTTACGGAAGAAGAAGCGCCGCTGCCATCTAAAAAAAAGAATTTAATTCTAACGCTTGTACTTGAAGAAGAAGAAACGAAAAAAGAACGTTTTGAGCGTCTGTACCCTGGTTTACAAAAGCGAAAACCTTTTATCGATCGTCCTCCCAGAAAATATTTTCCAGCTGGGAATTGGAGTTATATTATTGAAGAGATGCGACGAGATGGGAGCCTCGGTGCATGCCTTAAAAAAAGAGCGAAATACATCAAAACCCGAAAGAAGAAAAAACAAAAAAGGAAACTAAAATGAGAAAATTTATTACAATAATATTGATATTTTTCCAGAGTTCTATCTCCATAGCTTCTGATAGCGGTATTGAAGAAGATGTCAATAACCATAACTTGTTTTGTTCTCTTGAAAACCGGAGCGCACTGCACGATGAGACAGAAGATCAAAGGTTTCAGCGCAGATATTCAGGACTTTCTCGGAAAGCCCCTGCTTTTTGAAGGCGTGTGAGAGGACATGTGAGAACAAAGGGACGTGACTGGACAGGTGATCCGATGATGAAAAGTCTGCTACGTCAATATTATCAAGAAGGAGCTTCCCGAGAATTAGAAGATAGAAAAGAGAAGAGGTAAACAATTGATTTGAAAAAGTATTGACAGCTTTTTAGAGTGTGAGTAGCTTTTTCGGAAATCGTAATTTTTGGAATACCTTTCAGGGGAGGAAGGCGAGAATGAAAAAATATATCGGGGTATTTTGTGTGTTGGGCGTGATGCAGCCTGGTCTGATCTATGCTTCTAGTGGTGATACCTATGAGGAAGTTTATCCTGGTTGGTTAACAGATTCGCTCCCCACAATACGAGGTCATAATGTCCTTCTACCAGAAGATCGCCTCGTTGCTCAGGAAAATCCACTTGCTCATTTGATTATTCTAGAAGAGGTTGAGGAAAAAAAGAAGGACCATAATCTAAGTAATCGTGAAATTGAGAAAAGGCGTTATAAACCTGCTAGGAAATCATTCAAAAAAAGCCTGCTCGTCGTTACAATTCTGGACGGCATAACTATAATACTGGGAAAAGGCGCATCAAATAGCAGAACGATTCTCTGCTTATACTAGGAAAGAGGTTTTACAGAAACTTTTTTGGGTGAGCGAGTTCATATTTTGTTGTTGACCGTGTGATTCTTATTTTTTCTGTATCGAATACCATATGATAGTGATAAGGATTTATGCTGTTTTGCATGATATGCTTATGCGTGTCCTTTTTCTTTATAAAGTAGAAGGTTTGGCAGCACACAAATAAGAAAGAAACAAGAAAACTCTTGCTTTCTGAACATTATTTTGCTTCTTTGCGTTCATAAATGTCTTCAGGTCCCCTTCGTCTAGTGGCCTAGGACACCGCCCTCTCACGGCGGAAACAGGGGTTCGAGTCCCCTAGGGGACGCCATACTTTTAAGGCATGAAAAATTAAGCGCTGAACTCTGAGGTTATGTCTTCTTGATACACTGTGATAGTGTTTGCAAGGTGTAGGAGTGTGGCCATTTTTTTATTAAAAGAGAAATGATCATGATGTATTTTAAGAAAACAAATCAGGCATTTTCTTTGTATAGTGTTAACAAAGAGGGGCCTTACTATAAAAAAGCTTATTTTTAGAGGTGCTTTGCAAGATTTTTTGTAAAATCGTTAGGAGGCATACTTCGTGTATGTTCCCTAAAGGTAGTTTTTTCTAGCACATTTTTTTTCCGTTAGGGACTTTAGGGCTAATGTTCAAAAGACATACCTTATCTTCGTGATCTGTAAAACCCAAAAGTAGGAATTCTGAAATAAACCCTGCAATGTTTCGAGTTTCTAAGTTTACGGCTCCAGCGACTTGCCGCCCGACAAGGTCTTCAGTCGTATAGTGATCTGTTACTTGTGCAGAAGTTTGTTTGGTACCAATGTCATCTCCAAAATCTACCCAGATTTTATAGGCGCTTTTACGTGCTCTAGGAAAAGGCTCTGCCTTAACAATAGTTCCGGAGCGGATATCAACTTTTTCAAAATCTTTAAAAGAAATAATATTCATAATATATACTCTTAAGCATCTTAATTTCTCTAAAACAAATTCTTTTTGTTTGGCGCAGGTCGTTTGTAACATAATTTTGTGAAAGAGTAATGGGGCGGACTGCTTGAGAGGCTGAGATATAATATGTCTTGTCCTAAAAGCTTTAAAAATTGAGCGTAAAATCTAGTGCTTTCTTTGTAAAAATGTTGAAAGTTAGGTGCTTTTATAGAAAAAGTTTTGCGTGATGGTGTGATAATTGCGGGTCTTTAGATTTTGCTTAATATTATCTTATTGTTTTTTCTTTATGATAATTCTCTTGAGGCTATATAAAGTCTTGGGTAGAGTCCCACATCATCTGTTGAACAAGTAGGAAAGTTTTATATTTATGGGTTTTCAGAAAGTTTTTTTGACAGGAGTTGCAGGCTTTATTGGTTTTCACACGGCTAAAGCGCTTCTTGAGCGCGGTGATAAAGTTGTCGGTATCGATAATTTGAATGACTATTACGATGTAAATTTGAAAAAAGCACGCCTCGAAAAATTGCTGAATCATCCTAATTTCTCTTTTGTGAAGGCAGATATTGCAGATCAAGCAGCGATAAAGAATATATGGGATGACCATAAAGATATAGATGGTGTACTTCACCTTGCGGCCCAAGCGGGTGTCCGATATTCCTTGAGAGAACCATTCTCTTATATTGACTCAAATGTAACAGGTCATTTAGTACTTCTGGAGCTTTGTCGCTATAGGGGGGGGATAAAAAACTTTGTTTATGCGAGCTCTTCTTCTGTATATGGCTTAAATAAAGAGCTTCCTTTTAAGGTTAGTGAAAAAACAGAGAAGCCAGCGGCGCTTTATGGTGCGACAAAAAAAATGAATGAGCTAATGAGCCACTCTTACTCTCATCTTTTTCGTATCCCAACAGTAGGCTTGCGCTACTTTACAGTTTATGGCCCTTGGGGGAGGCCAGATATGGCAGCCTATCCAGGTTTTTAATAGGGGGGACATGTGTCGGGACTTCACCTATATTGATGATATTGTTGCAGGTACAATTGCAGCTTTAGACCGTTCTCCGGAAGGAGATGCTGAGATGCCACCTTATAAGATTTATAACTTGGGGAACTGTCGATCAGAAAAGTTGATGGACTTTATTCGTATTCTCGAGTGCTCTCTTGGTAAAAAGGCTAAAATGGAGCTATTGCCTTTACAACCTGGTGATATTCCCGAAACGTATGCTAATATCGAAGATGCTCGAAAAGAGCTAGGGTTTGAGCCAAAGACCTCTATAGAGGTGGGCATTCCAGCTTTTGCCGACTGGTATAAAAAGTATATGGGCTATTCAGGCTAATATTGTATTGAATTTTCTTGTTTTGTGAACGTTTAGAGGGGGTTCTCTCGACGTTGTGCTCTGTGGGTACTTTGCGTGATGGGAAAAATAGGTTTTTATCTCCTTGATTTTTTATTTTTTAAGCGTATAGTCACAAGACTGCGAGCGGCGGGCCTCTGAAAATTTAATTCGTTTTACACAATCCTTTTTTTAGGAGATTTTTCTATGTCTTCTGAGAAGATATCTCGGGCGCTGCCCATTATTTTGATCACATCTCTTTTTGTTTTTTGTATTGAAATTGATGTGGCGATTCCAAGTTTTCCGGATATGGTGAGCTTTTTTGGAACCTCTCAAGCCATGGTTCAATCGACATTGAGC